CACCCCAGCCCCTCGCCAGGTCGGGTTCCTGCTTGCCTGCCTAATTACCTGCTTAGGGGGGGGTCTCACTGGTTCTCCCAAGGTGGGGTCGGGAAACGAACCCAGCTGGATGGTCACTTGTCCTTCTTCCAAGAGCCGTTTCGAGCGATCTTCCTCCCAACCCCACTTCTGTCCCGACCCCCCCTCTTGCATCCCCCCAAAGGCAGGGCAGGGGTTCTGCGGGACACGGGCCAGTGCCCACGAGGTCACCGCCCACCAAACCACCCTGACCCAACCCGAAGGCCCCGATTTGCCCTGCATTTCCAGTGGGGGGGGGGTCGCGGAACATGGGGAAGCACACATGAAGCCCGTACCCCCTCCAACCCGAAATTCGGGCCTTCGCGTTGGGCAGGGGTGGTCTGGTAGGCAGTCACGAGTTCCGGAGCCGCAGTCCGAGGGCCGCCGGGTCGGTGGAGGGACCCGGGCCACCGAGCAGCGACAAGGTTTTTGGGCCCCGCTCCTCCGGGACCCGTGGTGGATGGCATCGCCTGGACATATTCCTGCTGTGAGTGCGTGGGCTCGGCAAGGGCCCCAGGCCCAGACCCCCTCGAGTAGTGAAAAAATCATGACGGGAGGTTTCTGTTCGCAATTTTCAGCATCGGGGGGGTATTCGCTGGGCCTCGGGACCGTCAACAGAACGACGCAGGCTGAGGAACCGGGTGGGGACCTTTGGGGATCGACGTCGACGTTGTGAAGAAGTCATGGCGTCGGGTGTCTGCGGGGGAGGCGACGCGTGCGCTCAGGGGGTGCAGGCTCCGTCGCGGGCGCTGTCAGGCCATGCCGCCCGATCAACGACCGCGGGTGTAACACTGGTGTGCAGCGCGTTCCCTGGCGGGCGGGCGCCTCCTACCAGCAGGGCGTCATAGGATGGGCACCTCGAAGAAGACGTCGGCCTGCCAGCTGGTGCCCCACGGGAGTGCCTTGTTCCCCGCAGCCCACAGCGCCGGGGCACCATGAGGCCCTCCAGGATCGGCGAGGAATAGTGCCTGTAGCAGTAGTGTTTCTCAGGAGGGGAAGAAACACACAGACACAATTAATCGTCGATCCCCAGGATAATATGGGAAAATATGGGAAGTGGGGGGAGAGACGAACCGAAAATGTGAGAAAATATGGGGGAATATGTTTATTTGTGTGTATTTATTTGTGTGTTTGTGGGCCCCTTCAGTTTCTTGCATATGGGGCTCTTGGGGCCGCAGCGGGGGGCACCACGAGGCCCTCCGCTGCGGCCTCAAGAGCCAGTAGCAACAGTGTTTCCTGCAAATGACGCGTGTGCTCGCGGGCGGCTTCGGGCCCCCAGATCTCAACTGTCCGACGAAACCCTCAAGCCGCTCGGAAAAGGAGCGGCACTCCGGGATGCACCCGCAGGGGGCTATTCGGACGCAATTGGTAGGACGCGCCCGTTATCGAGGATGGACGCCCATCATCGTATATTCCCGGGTCGGGCCCCGCATTTTCGGTTCGAGCACCCCACGAAGTCGGGGATAGGTCATAGACGGGCAAATGATTCAGTTGGTAACCGCGATATTGGTTTCGGCATGGTGGGTGGGATTGGTTCGTGACCGAGTCAGTTGTTGTAAAGGGTGGTTCGTGCTTTCCTACAATTCATTGTGCCATGTTCGCTCGATTGATTCGCGCATTTGAAAATAAGAAGTGTGGTTCGAGATTTCCTATTATTTAATCGCTTCGCTCATTCCGCCGGCCCATACAGTCTCATGTCTGCCGTTTGCCCGAGGGCCTGGTGTCAATGCGGCGCTTTGGGGGTTCCTGGGGCCGCTTGGGGGACTCCTGGGGCGCTCGGGGGGGCATTTGGGGGGCCTCCTGGGGCCGCTTGGGGGACTCTTGGGGGCCTCCTGAGGGCCTCGTGGGGGCCTCTTGGGGCCTCTTAGGGGCCTCTTGGGGCCTCGTAGGGGCTTCTTAGGGCCGAGGGCTCGAAATGTTGTTTCGTGTTCCCTCTCTGGGGCCCCTTTGGGGGCGTTCTTGGGGCCCTCTTGGACCGTCTTGGAGGCTTCTTGGGCCGTCTTCGAGCCCTCTTGGGCCATCTTGGGGCCCTCTTGGGGGCCTCTTGGGCCCTCTTGGGGCGATCTTGGGGGCCTCTTGGGCCGTCTTGGGGCGTCGGGAAGCCGAAAAGGTGGAAGCTCCAAAATCTTTCAAAAACCTAAGGAAAAACAATGAATTTTGCCTCCGGGGGCCCTCTTGGGAGTGCTCTTGGAGGCCTCTTGGGGCGTCTGGGGGCTATCTTGGGCGTCTTGGAGCGATCTTGTGGCATGTCGGACCCCTCGTGTACCATCTTGGGGGCCTCTTGGGGGCCTCTTGGCCTTTCTTGGGGCTCTCGGGGACGTCTCGGAGCCCTGTTGGTGCGCTCATGGAGCGCTCCTGGAGCGCTCTGGGGGAGTCTCCCGGGGGTCGGTCGGGGATCGCCCGGGGTACTTTTCGTCCGGGGACCCCCAGGGGCCGCCCCGCGCGCGCGAACTAGAGAATTGTCAACCAGTTACCGGAGATCTTAGCACGCCTCTGGCCCGTTGGGCCGGCGAATTTGCCGTTTTGCGCGAGGCCTGTTTTGCGCGAAGCCAGATTCTGGTGTTGGAGAACCCAGATGCCCAACATCACCGTTCACCACCAGAGCCGCTTGCCCAGTACTGCCAAGACGCTGACATGAGGATTAGTTTTGGGTCTGGAAGGGGCTCGTCCCTTAGGTCATCCAGTGGTTGTTCCTCCGGCCCTCCTCGTGCACCCAGGCATATGTGCTGCCCCCAAAAATTCGTTCCGTGTCAAGCGCTCAGTATTCCGACAGCCCGATTGTAGGCGTCGACGCATCCCGTGTACTTCAGTATCGCTTGAAATGAAACTGAACAGGGGCTACCTGTCCTCTGAGCCCGAGGAGACGTATAGCATCCCCTAGGGAAATGGTAAACTGCTCAGGGTGGACGCTATGGTCGCCCTCAGAGCGCGCTGATTACTTGTAGAGCTACACAGGGCATGCCAGGTGGAAAGGAAACTCCCCTACCTGCACAATGATGCTACATGGGAGGTGTAGTTCACAAGAGTAAACTTGTGCAACCATTTGCTCCTTTTGTGAACATGTACGCAACTTGTTCACGAGGTCAATTGGAGCCACCGCGGCCTATGCTTCACAAGAGCGCACCTTGTGAAATGTTGCCCAGCCACGCTGCAGAGATAAAGGCGACAGAGGTAAACGAGTCAGTGATTGTCCCCGCCTCAAAACAAAATGTCGAGTGGACCGGTATAAGGCCCAGTTATTCGAGGGACTATACAAAAGGTCAGCTGTAATGACGAAAATTGGTGATCCCAAACTGCACAGGGAAATCCGAAAGGCATGCACGTCAGTAGACGAGCGTGTAGACGTCGATATGCGCATCACGAATTTATTGCCGATGAAGCCGCCGGAGAGCATAACACTACAGAGCAGACCTGAGCAGCGCAAGCTTGGGACACGATCCACAGACCAGGGCACCTCAGTGGGTCTCTCATTCACGCGCTGAGATGGTCTACGCTCTCAGTGGGTGTCTCACCTCCGCACTGAGACGTCCGCCAGGCCTCGAAACCTGGAGCGCAGAAGCGCCGAGTCCATCCGGACATGACGTGAACCTTGGCCCTGGTGCCAACGAGTGCACTGTAACATCCACACGATAGCGTCAAGCTCACCAGAAGCAACCACCAGCGGTCCCAGCGCGGTGGCTGGGTCGACACCTACCGTGAATCAGCATCTCCCTCATGTCCCCCAGTCAAGAGGGTCTGTAGACGCGACCGTATTGTCTGTCAGACCTCTCACATCCACAGACAAAGCCAGTCGTCCCGCCCGCATGAGGTACACGGCGTAGGAGGGTGAGGCGTTGGCGTGCCCGCCCCCCAGTTCAGTATCGCTTAACCGATCCCCATCCCCATCCCCATCCCCATCCCATCTCGGGCCGGGCGAAAGGGGGGGATTGGGAAAGGGGGGGTTACGAAATTTGCTGCATGCAGCTGGTTTCGGCCTCACCGAGGGGCCCATTCCTCGATACATAGTCGCCTCCGGCGCCGAGAGGCGCCGGGAAAATCAGCTACGTGAGCTGATTCTCAAACCCTCCCTTTGCTATCCCCCCCTTTCGCCCGACCCGACCATCCCCAGCCCCATCCCCATCCAGACCCCCGCCACCTCACCACCCCAGTTGGAGATAGACCCATCGAAACCCGAAGGAAGCGGCACACCTCCCCGTCCGGGGGGGGGGGGGGGGGGCATCGGCCCGTGGGGCCCCAGGCCACGCCCATGGGGATAGGGGTCGATCTCACGATGCTCGCAGACTCCTCTCAGGAGGGGAAAAAACACACAGACACAATTAATCGTCCACTCCCAGGAAAATATGGGAAAATATGGGAAGTGGGCGGGAAGACAAAAACCCAGAAAATATGGGAAAATATGGGGAACATTTTTATTTGGGTGTATTTATTTGTGTGTCCCAGGGCCCCTTCATCCTCCACGGGTCCATCCTGGCCAGCAGTTCGAGCCGCGGGATGCCCCGGAGGGGCAAACACCAGCGAGCTGACTTGGTGGGTGTCGTCGCCAGACAAGATCCGATCAGTATCGGTATCGTCCAACAGCTCCCCATCCCCGCTCCTTCATTTCCCCGACGCAGTCAACCCGCCTGGTTAGGATGGGCAACCTATCCAAGGGTACAGCCAACGCGCCCAGTAAGGCCTCGCGCCTTCATCTAGGGTGCCCTTGTGTCCTTGCCTCCGCGGCCCATCCTTTGTCATTTTCATTGCCCGTCGGCCAAAAATCCCGGCTTCGGCCTCCAAGGGTCTTGCGTATTGTGTCCTTACCACCCGTGATGTACGTTTTGATTGTATCCTTGCATCCTTGCCTCCTCGGCCCGTCCTTGGCCACTTTCGCTGGCCGCGCCCCGCCCGGCAAGCTTCGAAATGGCCTTCCACGGCCCTTGCATCCGAATCGCGCGTCCTGCTTGCACGGTTTGGCTGCAGGACGAGGTCCAACGATGCCCAGCACGCCCCGCGTCCCAGCGCGCCCTCCGCGCCCACCTGCGGGGGACCCCCCCCCCGCGGGCAGGCCTGGCACCGGCCGCGGTGGCGGAGCCCGCTGGCCCAGCGGACTGCGCGGCGTCGGGCACACCGTCGGTTGCTGCGCTGGCGGCGGGCGTGCCGGGGTGTCCTCCGCGGCGCTGGCCGTCGGCTTCGTCGATGTCGTCGCGCTTCGGTCGAGCAGTTGCGAAGCGTCCTGGCTCGCCCAGATAGGCCCACCAGAGAATGTTCTGAGCACCTCTTGTGGTCTAACACCTCGGGCTTCTGTTCTAAGAGCCTCGTTCTTGTTTTTGGACCATTCCTGAGTTCTAAGACCACTTCGTGGTAGGACTATAGGAATGCCAGGACGGTCGGTCCCTGCTCAATCCGGGGGAGGGAAAGGGATCTAGTCATCGTTTCGCTCATTCCGCCGGCCCGTATTGTGCCATCGTTGGCGTTTGGGTGCGCGTTCGTCGGCCAAGCGGCGTTGCTGGTCGGCGCTGCTGCGGTTGCGGGTGGGAGTCGTAATGGATGCTTCTTGGTGTCTCTTCGGAGGGTTCTTTTGGGGCTCCAGTGTAGCAGTGTTAGGGGCTCTTGGGGGCCTTTTGGGGGCGCCTTGGATGCCTCTTGGGAATCTCTTGGGGGCCCTTGGGGGCCGCTAGGTCCAGCCTGGACGCCGCTACGGGCCGAGTGCTCGATATGCCCGTTCTGCTTCCTCCTTCTGGGCCCCCTCTTGGGGCCGTCCTGGGGCTCTCTCTGTCCGTCTTGGAGGCCTCTGGGGCCGTCTTCGGGCCCGCTTGGGCCATGATGGGATTTTCTTGGAGGCCTCTTAGGCCGTCTTGGGGCGATCTTAGGGGCTTGGGCCGTCTCAGAGTGTCGGCGGCCGAAATGGTGAGAACGCTGGAAACATGCAAACACCGACGGAACATCGTTGAAGCGTGCCTCTAGGGGGCTTCTTGGGAGTGGTCTTGGAGACATCTTCGGGTATCTTGGAGGTGGTTGAAGCCGTCTGGAGGCTATCTTGGGCATTTTTGAACGATTTCCGCCGACGCTTGGCCCTTTTGGACCGCCATGGGTGCCTCTTGCGACGCTCTTGACGGTCCTCAAGGCAGTCCCCCAGAAGTTCCGGCATCCGTGACGGGGACCGCCGGGGGACCGCTTGGGATTTGCATGGTTTTTTTGTTCCCCACATGCTTCGTGGGGTTCTGGTTTTCTTCCTTGCCGCGCCGCACCCGCGACACTCACCTCACTTCGTGGGGTCCTGGTTTTCTTCCCTGACGCGCCGCACCAGAGGGGGTGCGCAGGGGGTGGTCTCCCTATGCGTGCCAGGGTCGTCCAGGCATAGCAGGCGTGGCATTTTCTCGACACCAGAGGGGGTGCGCATGGGGTGGTCTCCCTATGCGTGCCAGGGTCGTCCAGGCATAGCAGGCGTGGCATTTTCTCGACACCAAAGGGGGTGCGCAGGGGGTGGTCTCCCTATGCGTGCCAGGGTCGTCCAGGCATAGCAGGCGTGGCATTTCTCGACACCAGAGGGGGTGCGCAGGGGGTGGTCTCCCTATGCGTGCCAGGGTCGTCCAGCAGGTGGCATTTTCTCGACACCAGAGGGGGTGCGCAGGGGGTGGTCTCCCTATGCGTGCCAGGGTCGTCCAGGCATAGCAGGCGTGGCATTTTCTCGACACCAGAGGGGGTGCGCAGGGGGTGGTCTCCCTATGCGTGCCAGGGTCGTCCAGGCATAGCAGGCGTGGCATTTTCTCGACACCAGAGGGGGTGCGCAGGGGGTGGTCTCCCTATGCGTGCCAGGGTCGTCCAGGCATAGCAGGCGTGGCATTTCTCGACACCAGAGGGGGTGCGCAGGGGGTGGTCTCCCTATGCGTGCCAGGGTCGTCCAGGCATAGCAGGCGTGGCATTTTCTCGACACCAGAGGGGGTGCGCAGGGGGTGGTCTCCCTATGCGTGCCAGGGTCGTCCAGGCATAGCAGGCGTGGCATTTTCTCGACACCAGAGGGGGTGCGCAGGGGGTGGTCTCCCTATGCGTGCCAGGGTCGTCCAGGCATAGCAGGCGTGGCAGCTTCGGGCATTTTCTCGACACCAGAGGGGGTGCGCAGGGGGTGGTCTCCCTATGCGTGCCAGGGTCGTCCAGGCATAGCAGGCGTGGCATTTTCTCGACACCAGAGGGGGTGCGCAGGGGGTGGTCTCCCTATGCGTGCCAGGGTCGTCCAGGCATAGCAGGCGTGGCATTTCTCGACACCAGAGGGGGTGCGCAGGGGTGGTCTCCCTATGCGTGCCAGGGTCGTCCAGGCATAGCAGGCGTGGCATTTTCTCGACACCAGAGGGGGTGCGCAGGGGGTGGTCTCCCTATGCGTGCCAGGGTCGTCCAGGCATAGCAGGCGTGGCATTTTCTCGACACCAGAGGGGGTGCGCAGGGGGTGGTCTCCCTATGCGTGCCAGGGTCGTCCAGGCATTGCAGGCGTGGCATTTTCTCGACACCAGAGGGGGTGCGCAGGGGGTGGTCTCCCTATGCGTGCCAGGGTCGTCCAGGCATAGCAGGCGTGACAGTTTCTCGACACCAGAGGGGGTGCGCAGGGGGTGGTCTCCCTATGCGTGCCAGGTCGTCCAGGCATAGCAGGCGTGGCATTTCTCGACACCAGAGGGGGTGCGCAGGGGGTGGTCTCCCTATGCGTGCCAGGGTCGTCCAGGCATAGCAGGCGTGGCATTTTCTCGACACCAGAGGGGGTGCGCAGGGGGTGGTCTCCCTATGCGTGCCAGGGTCGTCCAGGCATTGCAGGCGTGGCATTTTCTCGACACCAGAGGGGGTGCGCAGGGGGTGGTCTCCCTATGCGTGCCAGGGTCGTCCAGGCATTGCAGGCGTGCATTTCTCGTCACCAGAGGGGGTGCGCAGGGGGTGGTCTTATGAGTGCCAGGGTCGTCCAGGCATTGCAGGCGTGGCATTTTCTCGAGAGGTGCGCAGGGGGTGCGCCAGGGGGTCCAGCATTGCGTGCGTGTCGTCCAGGCATTGCAGGCGTGGCATTTTCTCGACACCAGAGGGGGTGCGCAGGGGGTGGTCTCCCTATGCGTGCCAGGGTCGTCCAGGCATAGCAGGCGTGGCATTTTCTCGACACCAGAGGGGGGTGCGCAGGGGGTGGTCTCCCTCGCGTGCCAGGGTCGTCCAGGCATAGCAGGCGTGGCATTTTCTCGACACGCAGGGGGTGGTCTCCCAACAGGGCGTGGCAGATGTCTCCCTAGCGTGCCAGGGTCGTCCAGCAGGCGTGCTTTCTCGACACCAGAGGGGGTGCGCAGGGGGTGGTCGTGCGCGGCCAGGCATTGCAGGCGTGGCATTTTCTCGACACCAGAGGGGGTGCGCAGGGGGTGGTCTCCCTATGCGTGCCAGGGTCGTCCAGGCATAGCAGGCGTGGCATTTTCTCGACACCAGAAGGGGGTGCGCAGGGGGTGGTCTCCCTATGCGTGCCAGGGTCGTCCAGGCATTGCAGGCGTGGCATTTTCTCGACACCAGAGGGGGTGCGCAGGGGGTGGTCTCCCTATGCGTGCCAGGGTCGTCCAGGCATAGCAGGCGTGGCAGCTTCTCGACACCAGAGGGGGTGCGCAGAGGGTGGTCTCCCTATGAGTGCCAGGGTCGTCCAGGCATTGCAGGCGTGGCATTTTCGGGACACCAGAGGGGGTGCACAGGGGGTGGTCTCCCTATGCGTGCCAGGGTCGTCCAGGCATAGCAGGCGTGGCATGGCATTTTCAGAGATGCGCAGGGGGTGGGCGGCCAGGGTCGTCCAGGCATAGCAGGCGTGGCATTTTCTCGACGCAGGGGGTGGTCTCCCTATGCGTGCCAGGGTCGTCCAGGCATAGCAGGCGTGGCATTTTCTCGACACCAGAGGGGGTGCGCAGGGGGTGGTCTCCCTATGCGTGCCAGGGTCGTCCAGGCATAGCAGGCGTGGCAGTTTCTCGACACCAGAGGGGGTGCGCAGGGGGTGGTCTCCCTATGCGTGCCAGGGTCGTCCAGGCATAGCAGGCGTGGCATTTTCTCGACACCAGAGGGGGTGCGCAGGGGGTGGTCTCCCTATGCGTGCCAGGGTCGTCCAGGCATAGCAGGCGTGGCATTTTCTCGACACCAGAGGGGGTGCGCAGGGGGTGGTCTCCCTATGCGTGCCAGGGTCAGGGCAGGCGTGGCGACACCAGAGGGGGTGCGCAGGGGGTGGTCTCCCTATGCGTGCCAGGGTCGTCCAGGCATAGCAGGCGTGGCATTTTCTCGACACCAGAGGGGGTGCGCAGGGGGTGGTCTCCCTATGCGTGCCAGGGTCGTCCAGGCATTGCAGGCGTGGCATTTTCTCGACACCAGAGGGGGTGCGCAGGGGGTGGTCTCCCTATGCGTGCCAGGGTCGTCCAGGCATAGCAGGCGTGGCATTTTCTCGACACCAGAGGGGGTGCGCAGGGGGTGGTCTCCCTATGCGTGCCAGGGTCGTCCAGGCATTGCAGGCGTGGCATTTTCTCGACGCTCCCTATGCGTGCCAGGGTCGTCCAGGCATAGCCTCTAGTGCGGGATTGCGTATTACCTCTCGTATCCAAGTGCCAGGCGACGCCGGATATGACCGTCACAGATGACTCCTCAACCCCTCCTCTCCCCCCACACGTCCTCCCCCTCCTTTCAACGACCACAGGGGGCACCTGAGAGCGTGACGGCGGTGGTAGTGGAAGCGCGGTTCACACAAGACATACAATCAGTATGTGGGGCTCCTCGGTAGCGTAATCGCCTGGGGACCCCAAGGGGCAGCCACGCGCGCGCGAACTGGAGGTATTCGAGGCTGTTACCCGAGATGTTAGCACGCTTTTAGCCTGTGGGGCCGGCGATTGCTTCCTCGCTTTAGCACTCGGGGATGGACAGACCCCCCTTTAGTACAACGTGGTTTAGTGAAAACGACCTGAGGCCCAAGCTTGGCGGGCGAGAAGCCTGGAAATTAACGGCCGCGGCGCACTTTCGAGAACCGAAAATGGACAATTCACGAATCGACGTGTCACTAATGGAGGTCCTGTCCAGCCCCGAAGCACGCCAGCGGCTGCTGCGCGGGCGGCGGGCGTTGCGGGCAGCCTCCGGGGCGGTGACCGCCGACCGGTCGTCGTTTTCTTCTCGGCCGCGCTCGGGGAGGGGGTAAGTCAGGAGGGGAAAAAACACACAGACACAATTAATCGTCGACTCCCAGGAAAATATGGGAAAATATGGGAAGTGGGGGGGGAGACAGAAACCCAGAAAATATGGGAAAATATGGGGACTATTTTTATTTGTGTGTATTTATTTGTGTGTCCTAATTTCCCTTTAAGGGGGTAAGGGGGATCCGGGAAGGTTTCCCAGAGGGAGGCTTGTTTTGAACAGGCGGGGGCCTCGTCTACAGATGAAGGGCTAGCGCCTTCTGATCGGAGGATCGCGCCACATCGCCGATGCATCGCCGATGCGGCTTGATGTGGAACCCGATGTTCTTCGCGCTGGCGTCGCCTAGGAACCGCCGATTTTGCCTATGCAAACCGATGCATCGCCGTTGCATCGCCGACGTACCGTCGATGCGGCGCGAACCTCCGACCCCATCTGCTCCGACCCCATCTAGGAGGTCTCAAGAGAAGCAGCCTCTTTCTAAGAAGCCTTCCCCCCTTTCCCTGCCCTCTCGTGGGCGGCCAGCGTGGTCTGGGTGTCCTCCGCGTCGCTGGCCGCCGAGCTATCGTCGGGTTCGCCGCCGCCGCGGCCGTCGTTCCAGAACCCCCTCGGGTCACGAAAGAAT